TTTATGATGTTATTCACTGTTTATTAATTGTTATGTAATTTAACATTTGGTATTGTTTTATCGTTTATTTGGCACTTTGCCCTGTTAGCCGCCCTGAGCCTTCGGGGAGGGCGGGATAGAAATTTAAATAAATAAATAAATCCCAGCCCTCCAACATCACAGTCCTCGGTCACACTTAAAGTAAAAGGTAAAGGTTCCCTTGCTCGAAAGCCAGTCGAATCCGACTCTAGGGTTGCGGTGCTCATTTCCGTTTCCAAGCCGAAGAGCCAGCGCTGTCCGAAGATGTTTCCGTGGTCATGTGGCCGGCATGACTAAACACCAAGGCGCATGGAACGCTGTTACCTTCCCACTGAAGGGGTACCTATTTATCTACTTGCAATTTCTTGCTTTCGAACTGCTAGGTTGGCAGGAGCTGGAACTAGAGATGGGAGCTCACTCCGCCGTGCGGCACACTCGGGTCTCGAACTGCTGAACTACTGACCTTCCACAGCCTGCAGTTCAGCGACTTAACCACTTGAGCCACCACAGCTCCTAGGTCACACTTAGGGGAGGGGTTACAGCTCAGTGGAAGAGCGACTGCTTTGTGTGCGGAAGGTCTCAAGTTCAGTCCCTTGGCATCTCCCGTTGAAAGGGCCAGGCAATATACAATGTGAAAGACCTCCGCCTGAGACTCTGGAGAGGCGCTGCCAGTCTGAGTAGACAAGCCTGACCTTGATGGACCGAGGGCCCAATTCGGTACAAGGCAGGCTTCGTGTGTTCAAGGACCACCAATCAGGTCTGCGCATGCCGATTCTTCTAATTTGCACAGATCTCAGTTTGTGCGGTGGAGGACTCGGGGATATTTTCCAGCGCCTGAGTCCCCAGTCGTACCGAGCGTTTTACGTCCCTCGGAATCCTATTGCTTTGTCAGTAATTATTTCCATATTTTGGGCCTTGTTGGCTCCCTGCCCTCCCCTTCGCCTCTCCACCCCCCCAATCTTGCGGGGAAGCTGGCCGGGCCTGTACGTACATCTGTTTGTCATTAGGAATTCCAGGGCTGTTAAGTAACGGCCTTCCAACGGCCCCATCCGCCCGGCACCCCCATAACTGGGCCCAGCCGGTGTTTTCACGGCTCAGTAGCGGTTAGCTCCACCTGGACGGATATTGCTGCGGTCTCACGGAGGCGTGGGGGTCAGGGCATCACGTAGGAGGCGTTTGGCTGCGCTTGCACATTTTTTGTTTTGCTCGGCCGAGTCCCCTTTGTTTTGCCCTTCCCTTCCCAGCACGGAAATCTTCCCCACGTGCGCTGGGGATGCCAGCCTCCGGGTGGGACCTGGGGATCCCCTGGAATTACATCTCCTCTCCAAACTACTGAGATCAGTTCCTCTGCAGAAAATGGACGTTTCGGGGGGTGGACTCTATGGCCTTGTACCCCACTGAGGTCCCTGACCTCCCCAGGCTCCATCCCCAAATCTCCAGGAGTTTCTCAACCTGGATCTGGCATAGGGTTGGGAAATTCCTGGAGACTTGGGGGGTGGATCCAGGAGAGGGCAGGGTTTGGGGAGGGGAGGGGCCTCAGCATGGTCCAATGCCGCAGCGTCCACCCTTCAGAGCAGCCATTTTCTCCAGGGGGTGGATCCCAGAGAGGGCGGGGTTTGGGGAGGGGAGGGGCCTCAGCATGGTCTAATGCCATAGAGTCCACCCTTCAAAGCAGCCATTTTCTCCAGGGGAGCTGATCTCTGTCAGCTGGAGCTCAGTTGTCAAAGTGGGAGGTCTCCAGGTCCCACCTTGAGGCTGGCGACCCTGCTCCCCATCCCCCGCCAGCAGCCACAGGGGACCTGACAACCCGATGCAACACTGTGGTGCCCAAAAGGCCTCAGTCCCAGGGTTGCCAGATCTGGGTGAGGAAATTCCTGGAGATTTGGGGGGCGGAGCCTGGGGAGGGTGGGGTTTGAGGAGGGAAGAAACCGCGATACAGTGCCGTAGAAGCCACCCTCCAAAGCAGCCATTTTGTCCAGGGGAACTGTTTGGCTTATTGGTTAAGTGTGCAGACTCTAATCTGGGAGAACTGGGCTTGATTCCCCACTCCTCCACTTGCACCTGGTTGGATGACCTTGGGCAAGCTGTAGTTCTGTCAGAGCTGTTCTCTCAAGGACAGTTCTCTCAGAGCTCTCTCAGCCCCACCTACCTCACAGGGTGTCTGTTCTGGGGAGGGGAAGGGAAAGGAGTTTGTACGCTGCTCTGAAGGGCAGGGTATAAATCCAATCTCTTCTTCTTCTCCTCCTCCTCCTCCTCCTCCTCCTCCTCCTCTGTTGCCTGGAGATCAATTGTAATAGCAGATCTCCAGGCCCCACCTGGAGGCTGGCAAGCCTTGTGAGTTGGATTTAGGGAGGGGAGGGGCCTCGGTAGGGTACAGTACCATGCAGTCCACCTTCCAAAGCAGCCATTTTCTCCAGAAGTGGAATAAATCTTTACAATATATAAATAATAGAAATAATAAATAAATAGAAAATCCAATAGTTGGGTCCAGTCCGGGGTCAAGGTTCCAGTGGTCCAGTAACAGCAAGGTCATTGGTTCAGTAGCAATGTGTACTTGTTCTGTCCACAAAATTGCTGTTTCTCCCAGCTGACTTTACAGCCAAGTCTTAAGCTACACTCCGGGCCAATTCCTTCACAGTCATCCTGAAACTACTCATCCATCTTGTCAGCTGACAGCTGACAACAGCTCATGACTCTCACACTCCTTCTCCTTTCCTGCAACTCAGCTCTCCTCTGACAGCGTTGGCAGTGCAGGGGCGTGGGTGAGCTAGGTGGGCTGGGAGTGGCTTCTGAAGCCTTGCTTACTGCTTCAGAGCTACAAGGTGTTGGCTCGGTTTCAGCTGTAGGCTGTGACTCCTGATCAGCTGGTAGGTAACCTGACCTCTTGTTGCTCTCCTCCTGGCTCAGAGCCATCTGTAGCCAGTTTTTCAATTACTGGCTCAAGGCTAACATGTCGCTCTTTGTCTGAGGAATCTTTGCTGTCACTGAGCACAGACTGCCTTACAACACACTGGCTCACGTATGTGACTCAAAGCGTGGTTTGTGTCTTGTTCTGGAGCACACCTCTAGCATTTGCAGCTTCAGCCGTGGGTATGGAGGGAATGAGACAAAGATCATGTGGCTTTTGTGCAAAAGCTCCTTCCTGACACGGCACAGCACTGAAGCAGAAGATCACAGGCATTCTTTCCTAAACCGAAGCCCAGTCAAATGTCCATGAAATGTCAATGTTACCATCCTCTTCCTCTACAGGATATCATCCTGAAACGGGCAGCCGACATTGCCGAGGCCCTGTATAGTGTCCCACGCAACCCCAACCAGCTGACCTCCCTGGCCGGGAACCACGCCCACTCCGGCATGATGGGCGTCAACTCCTTCGGGAGCCAGTTGGCCATCAACATCAGCGACTCCCAGGGCTCAGAGCAAGGTGGGCAGCAGCTGAGCCATCGGCCAGGTTACCGTTTCTGGGTTGGGAAAGTCCTATGATTTGGGGGGCAGGACCCTGGGGAGGGCGGAGATTGGGGAGGGGAGGGACCTCAGCGGGGTGTAACACCATACAGTCCAAACCTCCGATGCAGCCGTTTTCTCCAGGGGGACTGATCCCTGTTTTCTGGAGATGTTTTGTAATCCCAGGAGATCTCCAGGGCCCACCTAGAAAGGGCCCCTCTTTTTTGTGGTGGGACCTTCAGAGCCAGTCTGGTGTTGTGGTTAAGTGCGCGGACTCTAATCTGCGAGTTCCGGGTTTGATTCCCCACTCCTACACTTGCAGCTGCTGGATGACCTTGGGCAAGCCGTAGTTCTGATAAGAGCTGTTCTTGAAAAAGAGCAGTTTCTGTCAAGAGCTCTCTCAGCCCCGCATACCTCACAGGGTGTCTGTTGTGGGGAGAGGAAGGGAAAGGAGTTTGTAAGCTGCTCTGAGACACATTTGGGTAGTGAAGGGCGGGGTATAAATCCAATCTCTTCTTCTTCTTCTGAGCCCTCCAATCATCTGGCTGGCTTGATGCAGCTTCCCCTCCTGTACCGTTGTGCCACCCCCCCTTCTGTCTCATTCTGAGCCCCACAGTTCCTTCCCATAAATGAATAAATATCCTGGATGTGATGACAACAAAGAGTCCAGTGGTGCATCCACAGTCTAAGGCACGTTTCGTGCCCACTTGGCCAAACAAAGTATTAGGATTCGATTCTAGGGGTCCGACCATTGACCACAGATAGCCAAATAGTGTTGCATCCTCTGTACTGTGGCCCTGGCAAAATGTGCCAGGCAGGCCTGGGGCACCAAGAGCTGCCTCAGGGGCACGTGGGAGAGGTGGCGGTCGTGTGGCACTCCCAGCCAATCGGAAGCCTGCAGTGCTCAGAGCCTCTCTGGTATCCAGCGAGCAAAAGCATTAAAGCTTCAAAGGGGAAAAGGTTCTTCCTCATATCCAGCCGGGACCTTCCCACCATTCTTGCGAGTCCTCTCCTCTGCTGCCCACAGGAACAGCTCCCTGCCCTCCTCCTCTAAGGGACAGCCCTTCCGATACTTCAAGAGAGCCATCCTGTCCCCCCTCAGCCTCTTCTTCTCCAGACTGAACATTCCCAAGTTTCTTGGCCTTTCCTCAGCGGGCTCGGGCTCTATTCAGTATACGGCAGCTACATATGAGAGTTTCATTCAGGGGAGGAGCCATAGCTCTTATCAGAGCACTTGCCTTGCATGCCGAAGGTCCCCGGTTCAATCCTTGGCATCTCCAGTTAAAAGAACCAGGCAGGAGGTGATCAGTGTTCCCTCTAAGCTGAGTTAGTGTGAGCTAGCTCACAGTTTTTTTAGCCTCCGGCTCACACATTTTTGTCTTCGCTCAGGAAGGACGGCTCCAGAGCAAACTAATGCATGCAGCAGCCAAATCGCTCGCTCACAGCTTTAACGCCAGGAGCTCGCAAAGTAGAATTTTTGCTCACAGGACTCCACAGCTTAGAGGGAGCAGTGGAGGTGATATAAAAGCCTCTGCCGGAGACCCTGGAGAAGACCTGCTGCCAATCTGAGTGCACAATACTCACCTTGATGGACCGAGGGTCTGATTCAGTATAAGGCAGCTTCATGTGTGTCTCATGTATTAAAAAGGACCCTTGAACATAAGGACATAAGAGAAGCCCATGCTGGATCAGGCCAATGGCCCATCTAGTCCAACACTCTGTCACACAGTGGCCGAAAATATCAGGTGCCATCAGGAGGTCCAGCAGTGGAGCCAGACCCTTGTCTGGAGGGGTTTGTAGTTGGCAGGTGGTTCCTCCCCCCCCTTCAAAAGAGCTACCTCCGGAAAGGGGTCATTTCCTGCAGGAGCGCACAGGTGCAGAGCTCCAGCAGTAAAGACCCCAGGGGGCGGGCACATGCAACAAGCCCCACCCCCTGCTCCCAGCAGCCATCAGTCAGAGCAAGAAGCAGCCAGGTAAGTTGCAGAGCCCCCACCCTGGTCCAAAACAGTCCAGTGGCACCTTTAAGACCAAGTTTTATTCAGGTAGAAGCTCTCCCTCCTCTGCGAGGACAGATCTGCACGCCCCCCCCCCCTATAGCTAGCAATCCAAAACAGTCCAGTGGGTGTTGCCTTCTGACACACTTCTGGTGATGTCAAGGGGTGTGGCGTATGCAAATAAGTCATGCTAATGAGCTCCTGCACCTCTTTTTCTACAAAACAACCCCTGCCTCCGAAGGAATGGCTAATGCGCAAGCCTCCCCAAAGTGCAGACCCCGGCCAGAGACGAAAGTAAATGTGGCTCTTTTGTTCGGTTGCTGACCAACGCAAAGGCAGCTCCCCGTGAGCCACGGACAGAATGCTTTGCGGCGCGCCCTTATGTGAAGGCACGTGGGCGTGGGGGGCTCGTACGCCGCGCGGCAGGGGCGATGCTCTTCCACGCAGTCCGACTCCCTCCCTTCCCTTCTGCCTGCAGGATACTCGCGCAACACGAGCAGCGTCTCCCCGCGAGGCTACGTGCCCAGCTCCACCCCGCAGCAGAGCAGCTACAGCACCATCACCTCCAGCATGAACGGTTACGCGGGCGCCGCCATGACCAGCCTCGGGGTGCCCGGGTCGCCCAGCTTCCTCAACGGCTCCACCGCCAACTCTCCCTATGCCAGTGAGTTCCGGCCGCCGGTCAGCTGTGTGTGTGCGTTCTTCGCTTCCGTGCTCACGTCTGATCACTTGTTCTAAGAAATGCAGGTCCCTAGACCTTCTGATTGGGAAGATGAGCCGGGGCACGTGTGGGCGTGGGGGGGGGAGCTCGGCAGCAGTGATTGGGTGGGGGCAGGTGAATCCTGGGGGTGAAACAGTGGGGCTTTGGGGCTCAGAGGAGATCCCATCTCTACCGTTCCCATTACCCAGGAGAAGCAGAGAAGATCAATTCAGGTGGGTAGCCGTGTTGGACTGAAGCAACAGAACAAAGTGTGAGTCCAGTGACACCTTTAAGACCAACGAAGTTTAATTCTGGGTATAAGCTTTTGTGTGCATGCACAAAAGCTTGTACCTAAAATTAAACTTTGTTGGTCCTAAAGGTGCCACTGGACTCAAACTTTGTTCCAGAGAAGATCGAGCAAAACAGGAAGAGGTTGTCCATGGTTTCCACATTGAAAAATCACTCCACAATCCTCAGCTGGTATTTCCTCCCAGGACTGAGAGCTGCAAAAGCAGGGTGGAAGGGCTGTGGCTCAGTGATAGAGCATCTGCTTGGCATGCAGAAGGTCCCCGGTCCAAGCATCTCCAGTTAAAAAGGACCAGGCAGGAGGTGATGGGAAAGACCTCCACCTGAGACCCTGGAGAGCTGTAAAGAGGTTCCAGGTTCATGCAGGAGAGTCCCTGTTCAATCCCCGGCATCTCCAGTTGAAAGGACCA